AACTGCCTCCTTCCTTCAGCTTCTCTAAGCCTGCAAGTGGTGTAGTAGTGTTAAGATTCTGGTGACCCTGTAAGGGACAGGCTTCAGGTTTGGCAACTGGTGTCTGCCCTGAGCAGTGACAGAAATCATGATGAAGCTGTAATGCTTATAAAAGCAGAGGCCGTGTGGTATTCATTGTAGCATGCTCACTGCACTGAGCGCAAAGCACACAGTAGATGTTCAAGAAATTAACATGCTTACTGGAACAAGTAGTGAATGGCAGGCTATCAGACTTCCTCATGGGCAAGTTTAAAATCAGTCTGTTACATGCAAGCAGCCAAATGCGTCCAAACGGTGGGGACCTTTCTCGGGTGCTCCCTGGTGTTCCACTGAGGACAACTGAGCCTTCAAATCTAGGAGCAGAAAAATCTAGGAGTCTTTTGCAGATGTCCTGCAACAAGTACCCTTATGGCTCTGGTGACAGTAGGATTCTTCTTTTGAAAAACAAAAAGTATTGGCTCAAAGAACAGAGAGTAGCTCACGTTTAGTTAAGAAAAGCTCTCCAGAATGTTTGGAAAGGATGCTAAATTTTGGTTGATTTAGGATTTGTTTTCAGATTGCATATGGGATTAAATGTGCATTACAGCTGCTGGGTGCATAGTACGCTTGCTTTGAAAGAGCACGTTTGTGCAGTGAGTCATTCTGTGTCTTGAACCTGTGCTACCACGATTTCAGTTAAGGGTTTACAAGTTCCTATAAGCTTCTCAGAACTTTTTTTTTCTTCTTCCCTCTAAAACCACTGTAACTTCTGTGTTTTTATGAACCAGAAATCTGATTTAGTGCTTAGCAGGTTTCATGTTTCAGAACTGTACTTTTGGACCTACTGCAGCCCAACATTGACAGGCGCAGAGCGAGAAATGATGTGGCCTGGTGCTTGGTGCATCCCCAATCTTGATGCACGGGAGACAGAGTTAGAGCAGGTGGCTGAGAGGTTAGCAAAACAATTCAAGATCCCCTGAGGGATTTAGAATTTCACAGATGTCAGTTTGGCTCTGGAT